CCTGATTGATGACTCTGGGCTATGGAGGTGTCCCACTGGAGAATATGAACTACGATCCACCCCCTCTAAGTCATTTACAGAGTCAGCCTCTTGCCCCAACCACCTGGGTCCTCCTTTTACCCACCTTGGAAGGATGGAAGGCTGAGTCAACTTTGAGCCGGGTGAGATTCGAACTGCCAAATTGCAGGCAGCCGGCAGCCAGCAGAAGCAGCCTGCAGTACTGCACTCTAACCACTGCGCCACCGTGGCTCATGGGGAAAGGGCCCACATACTCAGGTCCCCATTTCTTCGATTTTGGGCTAGTTTGAATCAGATCTTGCCTAATGTCAGGCCTGCCTCCGTTCCAAGCTCAGGAAAGAAAACCCCCAACTCCACTGATTTCGGGACGAGGCGCTTTGACTAAGTTTGAAGTGATGGCAGACAGTTGGCTCGATAGGAGTGTAAACACCTCCCTTTGGCAGCGCCATGTTTCGTGAGTGCAAAGCTCCCAGTTCTCATGGGATCACAGCAGCTCACTTCCCCTTCCCAAATATCCGAGCGCCCCCCTCCCCAATACTATGGCACCCGATAGCAAGCAGCCAAGCTGGAGATCCGGCTGACGCATGACAGACACAATCCTGGCCTGCTTGAGTCTCCTACCTTGGGTTCCGCGTGGACAAGAGCACTTGTAGGTGTTGAGCAGATCAATGCAAGTGCCACCGTTCTGGCAGGGATGGGAAAGACATTCCTTGATCTCCTCCGAGCAATTCCTGCCATGGTAGCCAGCCACGCACTGCAAAGGAAGATGCGGACGCCTCTGAGCATGCAGCAAAGCTGGGTTGTCCTGCCCCAGGGAGGGCCTAGGCACCTGCCTCCAAAGGTTACCTGGGAAACGGAGGGAGGACCCCATGTCCCTGACACGAGGCACCTTCCCAACCCGGCCCTGGGTGGCAGGTTGGAATCCTGCCTTCCTGAAAGTGGCCCGAACGCCCGGCGGCTGGGGAAACCAACTAGGCCACGTTCTTCCTGGGCGGGAAGCCTACCTCGCAGGAATAGCCGCCTAGATAGTCCGTGCAGGTCGCCCCGTTCTGGCAGGGGTTTGGGGAGCACTCATCCACTTGCTCTTCACAGTAGCTGCCCGTATAGCCAGGCTGGCAATGGCAGAAGTGGGTGTTGCCCCTGTCCACGCAGAGGCCGGAGTTTCGGCACAGGCGGGCCACGTCCAGTCCTGCAAGAGGGAGGCCATTGGAGACATGTGGGAGGCCAGGAAGGGGCAAAGCAACCCGGCTGTCAACTCATAAAATATTTCTATCGTCTTTTTAGAGTTGCCAACAGAAAGGGGGAGGGGAGAGCAGTGCGGCAACTTGCATTCCATAAATGTTTTCAGAGATAGTAACTAGGTGACCGAAGTTTCTGCCGGGCAAAATTCTAACTGGAGAGCCTGATTGATGACTCTGGGCTATGGAGGTGTCCCATTGGAGAATATGAATTATGATACACCCAGGGGGTAGAGGGAAAACCAGGGTTAAGGGTGATAATAAATGATGTGACTCAGAGTCGGCTGCACCCAGGTCGTGCTGGCATGTTAAGTCCCAATAAATCCTTTGGAAGTTTTAGAAGTTTGGCTCCAGACTCATGATTTCATTGGGGGCAACTGCCGGAACCCTGACATCTGATCACAGTGTCCAGGCCCAAGCTTGGACAAACCCTTTCTTCTTCCTTGCATTTTTTTTCTGGCCTCCAGCCCAGGCAACCCCACCCTCTTCAGCCCCTCGACCAACGGTCCAAGTCAGGAGGATTCCCATCAGGCAGACCTCAAGGCAAGTTGTCTGGAGTTCTGGATAGAGGATCCTTCCCCTGCCCTCCAGCACGGAGAAACCGAGCAGGAAGGAGGACCCACCTTGCCGTCGCGCAGCCACCTCGCAAGAGACGTTGGGTACGTCGCAGTACAGGCCGGTCCAGCCGCTCGGGCACTCGCAGCGGTAGTGATTGCTGGTCTGCCAGCACTTCCCTCCATTCTTACAGGGAGACGAGTCGCACCAGCGGACCAGGTTCTGCAGAGAAGAGGGGGAAGAGGATGGAGCATACGGTGAGGGGGTCAGAAGAGCCAGCCCCATGGGTGCCGGGGCTGCCGCAGGCTAACCAGAACCTAAGCGACGTCTCGGAGAGCAATCCTGGCGAGGGACGGTGCCCAAGAGATGCCGGAAGTGGGAGCTTCTCTTTCTCATTTTGGTCTCTGTCACCTGCAACTCTACGAGTGCCCTGACAGGAGCACCAATACACCTGGGGGCAACTCTGAAGTGAACCCGGCTGGTGCCATCTTGGAAGCTTCAGGGTTGCCACACAACGGGGGGGGGGGGGGGAATAGCTAGATGGGGTTTTTGTAGCCCAACCAAGAAAGTTTTCCTGTGGGAACCAAGGACGTTCTCAAAGGTGGCTGGCCAGAGGGAGGAACAAGTAACCAAGCAACCAGCCAGCACCTTGATTGGACAGCGTCACCAGTGGGGGAAAAGGGGAAACTTTCACTTTTTAATCAGGTGAAAGCCACGGGAACTTTCAGAGTCGGCTTTCCCCAGTTGTGCCAACATGATGATGCACCCAATAAATTCTTCTTTGGGGAATTTTTCTGCCTCAGAGCTCTGCTTTCTATGGGTGCATTGCTTGGAACGCTGACACCTGGGCTGCCTTGCACAGATCGTGGGGATGCTTCCCACCGTTTGCTTCGCTGGGACCCTCAAAAGGCTCACATAGGTGCTGACTGGACCACCCCTGGTCAGGCTGGCAGCCCCAATTCTCTTGGTTGTGGGCTCTGACCGATCCTTACCATGTTCTGCAATGCTCAAAAACCTATGAAAAGTGCTACCTGGCCAGGAAAAGCTGGAGCTCACTTCTAGAACGCCCACTGAGGCTTATCCGTTGATGACTGGACTGGGCTCAGTTAATCTCCAATTCTGATAATCTATTCTATTCTATTCTATTCTATTCTATTCTATTCTATTCTATTCT